GTCCTAACTGTTTCCTATTCACCTGTGAATTAAACAACTTTTCATGAGGCCTGTACTCAATCATCTTGACAGGGTTTCAGTGTGCACAGGACACCCACAGGATGCCCTGCTTGGCAATACAAAACCATCCTGTGCTGTACTCATCTTGAGATCTGAATCTGCCTCGTCTTGAGTGCTTCTATAGCAGTTCTGTCACTGGATGTGCCCTAGTGTGAAGATAGCATAACATGGCTAAAGTCCTCAAAATAAAGGGAATATAAAGCAGTTCCTGAAGGGGGCATTGTTTTTCTTCCAAGACTCAGCTTTCTTTGGCTTTGTTTAATTATGCATTTATATTTAAACTTATTCTCATTCATTAATGAGAATTTAGCACCTCAAAGGTCTGTATGAGATTTTCAGTTATTGTAGATGAACTCAATTACCCATGCCTTGACTTTAATCTGAACCACTTTATGCTATTTACTGTTAAAATAGTAAAAATTATAAGAATTGAAAATGAACATTGTCTAGAAATAGTGTAATAATATACAATGCATTAGATCTAAAACATTAAATCTGCCTTTAAAGATTAAATATCTGTGGTGAAGCGCTAAATTCACCCATGGTTCAGCTGCGCTGGCATGTGGTCCCAGAGTTCTGGTTGACAGTGTAAGTAAAATACTTTTGGCAGTCAAAGCAGTTTTCTAGTCTGGAAGGCCCTTCAATTAGCAAAGCAACTGCCTTTCTGAAGCAGAGGATTGCATGCTCTTTTGCTGTTAGATAGTCATTAGACATAAAATTTCAGCAGAATAATAATTTGATAATACTTGTATGCAGTACAATGATCTCTTTTTGCAAAGAGATTCTGATTTCAGCCAGTAATACTGAAGTGCTCTGTCAAATGGACCTCTCAGACACGACCAGACTCTAGTAGCATATCAAACAGCACAGACAGCAAAGGAGAAATTAACCTTTAAAACTCTTTAGCCCAGTTTCACATAAATACAACTGCTTTGAAATCAGTGGAAATATTACTGATATGCACACACGTACTTGACATCAGAACCTAATCCACTGTATTTAACTCATGTTGAAAAGAACAAGTCTGACCAACCAGAGATTTCTAATGCTGAGGAAATGAAAGCTCTGTAAATAGGAATCGTTAGTGAGGATCAGCTTACTTCTGTACGAGCGTAGCATGTTTAAACTAAAAGCTGATGTGAATGTTTGCATACAAAGTAAACTCTCCACTCTCTTACAAGTATATTTCTGTCAGTGGTCAAAGCAGTGGCTATGTGGGCTCACACATATTAAAATGGCTTATAAGCTATATAATTACTGTCTTCTCTCCACAATTTAAGGGAAATTTAGGTGGGAATTTTATGAAAATGTGGTCAGAATTGTTGCTTTAAAGAGTTTCCCTCTGTCTTTGTCACAAACAAAGCCAGGTATTGTGGACGGTTGTAACTTTATCACCTGGGGAAAAAAAAAAAAAAAAGAAAAAGCCAAAACTTCATTACTTTTGTCACTGGCAGCACTGAATGTTTGAGATCTCGTGTATTAAAACTAATCCATTAGCACAGTTAAACTAAAATTAAGATATTTATTAACTCAAAAACTAGTAGAATCATAGTCTTTGATGTTCTTTCACTGCATTTACTGCTATTTTGGAATTTTATTATTTTGATAGGTCAGATAGGAACACTGAGCACCACGTTTTGATAGGCTTGTGAGACTTGTGGTGGCTTCATCGTTGTACTGTAGTAGCATACATGTGGTAGAAACTAACAAAATTAGGGTCATTGCTTGAGTGCGTGTCTGTGCACACGAATGTGGTCAGCTAGTTCTAGGTGTGTACATTAATAGCATCAGCACACGACTAATTATGGACAGCGCCAGTCTCTGTTCATATTATATGAACATTATCATAAGACTTTAATGAAATGGTAAATAGCAGTTGCATTTGACAGATGGCTGGTGTAGTTGTTTGTACAATTAGTGCTTTAAATTTCTCCCTAACTGTGTTTTCTCATCCAATTTTACTATTTCCTTCTATTTCTTTTATTCATTAGAGAGCTCATCTAAATATGTTGGTCAGATCATGGACAGTAAAAACAGGATAAAAGTTCTTGTATTAATTTTTACTGTCAGTACATTCATCACTGTATAATAATTTTAGAACACACAATAAGATATGGCAAGTAATTTGAATTTCCTTTTCACTGTTCTGGCATTTAATTGCAACTGGATCATCATGTTTAATATATATGGTTCTGTCTTTCTTTGAGTCAATTTGTTGTGCCAGCTCAAACACATTTTTAACTGCTGCAAATATCCTGTGAAAATGAGCTCAATATTGATTGTTTTTGTATGTAAAAAGTACATTCTTTTATATTACTGGTTATACTTGCCACTCACCAATACCATGGTTCTTATGTCCTGTGGATGGAGATATAATAATTAATTTTTCAGTTCTTCCATAATATTCATAAGTGTATATAATGTTTCAACTTCTCTCGAAACTGCCTGAAGCATTGTCATCAATGTATTGTCTCTCTAGCTAGAACCGCTCAATGTTTCTGATAGCCACCTTTTTTCTTTCCTCTTCTTCCAAATCCTCTGAGTTTGTGACCAGAACTGCAGAGTACAGTCATGATGTGGCTGCCTCATAGGTATAGGGCACAATGTTGTTTCCAGTTTTGTTCTCTAATAATTTGGAACATTCTGTTTACCTTTTTCTTTGCTGCTGAATGCTCTGGAAGTTTTCACAGAGAAAAATTAGCAAGATTTTTTTTTTTTTGAGTGATAGTAGGTAATTCAGATTCTATCGGTATAAAATTAGGTATGTACTGCCACCCCAACAAAACATGTATTGACATCTAAATTATCTAGTTTGTTTTCTAATTGCTCAGCATCATCATCCTGTGATTCTTCACAGACAACTTGAGTACCCTGAATATTTTGCACTGTCATCAGACTTTTTGCTTAATTATTCCAAGTTTTTCACGAATATGTTAGCACGGATCTGTGTGGGACATTACTAGTAATCACCCTCCCTTGAGAAAACCAATTGCTTTTTCCTGCTCTTTTTTTCCCTATCTTTCAGCCAGCAAACAGGTCAAAAAAGAATATTTTTTGTTCTTAAAATATCTGAGTTTGTTCAGTTTGGAATTCAAGATTTACTTGGCTGAAAGAAGATATGAAGAGCAAAAGAGTGAACAACATTATAACTTTGTTTTAATGAATGTTACATTCTACTAGGTAGTGGTGTAGATAAACTTCCCATTTGCCTTGCATATTTATATACCAATAGTAAGGTATGTTGTATTTCATTTACTAATTATTCACTACAAATAATCAACTTCCTTGATGTTTTATAGTTCTTCAAAAAGGTGATAACTGAACTAGCTAAATTATTAAGGAATATTTCTTCTCTATTAAAACCCCTGACTTTAGGCATTATCAATTTTAAATTATTACACTGGATGAATGGAAGACGGATCAAAGTAGGAGGCTTCACCAACTATAGCAAAGTATAACATTCTGTGTACGAAGATGACTTGCAATATAAGGATGTTGTTCTTCATTCTACAGATCGGTATTTCATTCTGTGTAAGACAATACAAACTACATAATGAAAAAAGTTATCAATATGCAAAAGTTTTCAAGCATTTTGAATGCTTTTTTTGGCCTAATATTTGCATTTAATGATGATTCTGACTCCTTTGAAATGCATTTCTTAAAATATATTTACCAGAAGCAAAAGAAAAATTATTTGCAAGATGCTGCAACACTGATTTCCTGAAATGATATAACAACTCTTTCTCTCTAAGCAGACTTTTGTGCATTCAACTTGAGTCCTCTGTGCTTGAACTGATTCAGTTGAAAGTAGAGCCACTACTCAAGAAAACAGATGTAGAGAAAACGTTCCCAAAGTGATCACTGTTCCTAAGGTTTGACTTAATTTCTAGCTTACCAGCAATGATCTTGTTATACAGTTCCTCTGTTTATTTCTGTTTAAATGAGTAGGTTGCCTGGGTGCTACTGTGTACCCACACATATTATATATTCTCACACACTTATACAAACTGACCAGACTTCAAGATCTCAGCCACACTGGGGAAGAGGAAATGCAGTCTTAAATTTAGTAGGAGAAAAGGGATAGTCAGAAATATTTGTTTTAAAAAGTCTGAATAGAACATTTAAGGACTAATACGTATAGCAGTAGACTATACATGCCAACCCAAATCTAAGGCACTTGGTAATTAACTTTGTGATTTAAATCAAATTCAGTTCAGTTCTTTAAATCTTATTCTTATTATGCAGTAAGTTTAAATAAAGTAGAACAACAGGATGGAAGAAAACTAACTGATGGCTAGAGTGTGCCAGACTTCTTTTATCATTAATTTTTTTAATAATCCCACTGGACCTCATGAGTCTGTCTTTCCTTCTCTGAATATTGCACATGAAGTGCTAGCCCTGTGGGAAAGCAAAGTGCTTCAAAGCATGTGATCCTCAAAAAAAGCTTACATTTTATATGGAGTTTGTCACTACAAGAGATCTTCTTTTAAAATCTTCTGTAGCTAACTGTTCTTAATTTTTACTCAGGAGAATGGAGATGAGAGAGAAGTCAAGAGGTGTGCTTGTGAAATAAAAGATGTATTTGCAGGTGGTAACTTAAGGAACAGTGAAGTAAATTGCATTCAGAAACAGCGAGATGCTACTGCTTGTCACCAGAGATTTAGACCAAGTGTTACTGTACATATTTTGATATTAAAATGTATGCAAATTTGATGGCAGTAGCCTAGTGGCAGCCCTTTTTACAATATAGGGTGCTGACACCTTGGCTCTTTGAAAAGATTAAAATGAGATTTCATTGCAGGGATATTAGTTTATGTAGCATTAGCTTTCACTAGAGATGGAGATAATTGCCCTCATTGCTGTATTGCAGAGGCTTATCAGTCATAATAGGAGAATCAGGTGAGAGAAGAAAGAGAGGTTACATCAACCATTTAATGCTCCTACAATTTGCAGTTCTGCACGCCCAACACAAGGATACAAGAAGTATATAACTGAAACTTAAGTAATAATTTGTCAGGGCCATACCATTCGGAGAGAGAAAATGGGTGAAAAATTTCTGCTAAATATTTTTTTCCACGCTTGAGCTTGGATGAGATTCGCTCCCACCTGCTAAAAGAAATTCTGAGGTTGTTTGTACACTGTTGACGGGTCAGAACTGCTCCATCAGTGACTCTGGTGTGTATAAGTAAAGCAAAAATCGTACCAAGATCCTTTTGCCTGATAAATATGTGGTAAGGGAAAGATCTCTAACACTACCAAGTAAGAAACCCACCTTTGGTAATGTTACTGCTAACTTACACAGTGGAGACTGGTGTTGATATTCATCATATGGAAAGGATTGTTCCCATTTCTTGGTTATCATTGCTCTGGTAATTTTATAAAACACTGCTGTTCCTTTGTAATGAGGTGAACTGTGGTTACCGAATTCATCCACTTCTTTAATTTGGAGCTCCAGCCTGGGTTTTCTTTGGGAATGAAAAATCAGCCTGTAGACTTTTCCAAAATCTTTTCCATTCTCTGCAGTTCATTTAAAAAAAAAAAAAAATATATATATATATATATGTATGTATTTTTTTACACTATATTTAGATGTGTGGCATCTAAAATAATTCATTAGGGTGAGTCAAACAGAGCTAATCACGTAACATTCGGTTGTTCTTTATCATTATTATTACTTTGTATTGAACATCTGAGGTTCAAACATTCCTGCCAGCCTGCTTCAGTCATTGAAAAGTCTTCATAGTTAGCTGTCTTAGTCCCTGAAATGTTGGCATAAGGAATAAGTGGTGAAGGCTGTGCTACAAGTTGAAAAGTAAGGAAAGCAGAAAGGGATAAAGTACAGAACACAGAGAGAAATAAAAATAAAAGTGTTGTGAATGGAATTAAAAGTATATGCTTTCTGGTTATTCAGGATAGATATCTGTCTGTCTAACAAAAAAAATGAATGGAGGCAGAGGTAGCTGTATTTTCAGGATTTGTAATTCCATTTTAATTTAGACATCTGTATACACTATCCTTTGCGTATATGAGCAGGTATTCCTTGGGGGCTGGAGACTTCTGTTTTTGAAGAATAATTCTTTTTCTTTAGGGCAAATTAAGTTTTCAATGGGAGAGTTTATGTACAAAATCTTCAGAGGGCCTAATATATATTTGTATGTTCTTTCCAAAACTGACAGAAAAGACTATATGCAATTTTATATGAAAATTTATCTGAGCCTTCTTATCTTTTTTCCCTCCAAGCAAATCTCTGCTTGGTGGCAGCCACTGCATGGAATTTTCAAGGCTGCTGATGAAAAGGGCATAACAACTCTCTCTCATCACTTCAGTTCACAGTCCAACTCACAAAAAGCAACATTTTTCCTGGATTTCAGTGTTTAATCTTGCTCACTTTAAGTGAATTTACACAGATAAGATAGTGGACTGTCTCTTTTTCTTTGGAATCCGTTTAATTCCTGTCAAATGTTCTTTATATTACAAACTGTTGATGGAATCCTGCCTTTTCAAAATAAAAGATAAAATGAAAACTGTTTCTGAAGGACCAGGTTTCACAGAACAGCAAAGGTTGGAAGAGATCTCTGCAGATCATCTTGTCCAACCTCCCTGCTCAAAGCAGGTTCACCTAGAGCAGATTGCTAAGGATCTTGTTCAAGTACGTTTTACTTTTCAGTTGGAGCAGTTTCCCATGTAGTTCCATACACTGTCCTTCACAAGAAACAAAACAGTGAATGTGCTGTAACTAACCACAATCTACTGATGTTCACATATGATATTTCTGAATAGCTGAGGTGATTGATAATGTTCATCCAGATGCATGAATTAATTAACTTACCTGAAGCAAAAATATTGCCTATAAAACTAAAATGAATCTGGTCTCCTTCTCTTAATGGGAACTGCTGTGTAGGTTCTGGGGGACCAAAGTAGCCCTCTTTATGGAGATTTTGAATTTCACAGGTCAATTCTTTGGATGCAGATAGCAAAACTACTATTTTATATGGGTTTTCTCTTTTCCGATACAGTATCACGTTAGCCATTGTGCTACAAATTGCTTCTTCCAGAGCATGAGCAAAGAGGAGAAGATAAGTGTTTTCCAAGAGGAATGAAAGGCGAATGACCACAAACCTGTATTTAAAAAAAAAGGCAAGAAAATAAATAGCTTTATCTTGCATCATTTTATCAACTGCTAACAATTTATTATGCAAAATATTACAGGTCTGACTCCAATGAACCTTTTGCTATCTCCTTTCCATTCTTGTTTCCAACACATGAAAGGGTGGAAATTTGACTGCTTCTGTAATGTGGAGTAGATTGACTCTGTATCTATGAATTCAAATACATATGCATTTTAGATGAATGTAAGAGAATAATTCCTAATAAGAATTTCCAAAATGTGTTATGGTTTTGTAGTTAGAGAGCTAAATCACATTTTCAAATTACAACTACTATCTGCATTTCCAGTTTCAAGTTTTGTATACATTACATTGTGTATGGTCTATGGATGAAAAAATATTTTTAAAAAAATCTATTTTCTATAATTATGAGTAACAAATCTAAACGATTTTATTCTGCAAAGTGGAAGAAAGAGACATTGGCAAGTTAATAATTAATAGTGGATGATATCTTAACTCTACTGATTTCCATTGATCTGTATACTTGGAAGTAAATATTTTAGTAAATAAAATTTTATTAAATTATTCATACATTACCTTTCTAAATGCTCATTTAGTTCAAATGATACAAGCCCATTCCGTGTATTCTGGATAATAACATCATCAAACACTTTCCACCCCTCCTCTTTGTTTCTGTGACCCAATAATTTCAAAGAATTGCTGAGATTATCTCCATTTTTTCTCACAGAAGCACTCATAGCCCTGGAAAACCAAAGAATTATATGAAAGAATGTAGTGACAAATAGATCCTGCACAAAGAATAGGCTTGTATTTGTAGCTCTGCTTTCCCTTCTGCTTTCCTTGATGACTACATGTGTTTTTCCCACCGTGATGAAAATCTACGTGTGGAACTATACTCCAGAGTATGTAAGTGATATAGTTGTTAAGATATATATATATATATATATTTATCTCAGTTCTCCTGAAAGAGGGGGAAAAAAAGGAAAAAGAAACGTTCCTGTCTGAACGAATCTAGTTTAATATAATGCACAGTAATTATTATGAATTGGTTTTGAGTCATTCATCAAGAGTTAGATTCTCTAGAAGTAGATATCTGAATAAAAAAAGCAATGTAAAAAACCACCTTTTCTTCCAGAAGCAAATATTACTTAACAATCCCAAAAGAATTTAGAAAATAAGACATGACTGACTGCTATCCATGCTCTCTTTCAACAGAGAAAATAAAAGTAGCTTGTCTTCAAATCAGGTGATTACTTTCATACCGTACTCAGAATCAAGCAACTGTGACATGACACGCTCTGGCTAATTTGTTCTAATGAATGGAACATGAGGGCTTTTTTTACAGAAGTGTGTAACTCTCCTGTCTCACACGTGCCTATTATAATTTTTTTTAAACTGGATGTGAGTAACCTATTCACCTCAAATGCACACCCTATGTACAGTCCGAGAAGGAAAATACTCCAGACAGGACAGCCTAAGCGTTTCTCAAGCACGCAGCCTCAGCCTATGTACAAACACAGGAAAACGTTGGCATAACTTTCTAAGGAATTTGTATAGAAATAAGCAATCAAGCCATGGTCTTTTCATGGATGTACTTTGACTGAGAATCTAAAGTGTCATTTAGATAGGTATTAAGAACAGACAGATGCCACGAGGGTACTGACACACAATGAAATGTTTCTGACACAGGAAATGAAATTTGAATCTCCTATAAACTGGCATGGATACCCTTCCCAAATCTGAAGTTTGTCATAAAGATGGATGTTTAGTCTGAGAGACAAGTGTGAGGCTAGACCTTTCAAAAACATGATCTGAGAAGGTTTTCAGAAATGGAAAGCTAGAACGTTCTCTGCTTTCTCCATCTGTACCTTGGTTATTTTCAAGACAATCATAATCTTGACATGTAGATGAGCTTTGAAAAAGATAATGTTTAGCACAGTAGGAATAACCTCTTTAATGACCTAAAGTAGAAATACGTCAAAGCTGACTCTTGTCCCGAGATAGACCCTGTGAAGAAATCCCAGTAAGCCTTCCTGAACCTAGAGTTGCCCATGGTAGCAGACCTGGAAGGACAATGATTAAATGGTAAGTTCAGATTGATATTTTTTTTTCCTGCATAAGATGGTAAAAACACCATTTATTTTGCTGACTGTCAAAATAGATGAGGTCAGCTTTCGCTTTTTTTTTTCCACTAAAAGTTTTATCCATGTCCTCGTGTCTATGTTGGATAAATTTTATTGAACTGACAGCTAACAAGGGAAATGTAGAGATGTAGAGAATATTTTTTTTTAGGAGTCCCCATGTTTTAATGCTTTTTTAGGACATTCCGAAAGGTTTAAATTTTAGAAATTCTGTAGTGAGTGCTTTGAAAAATCTGAGCCTTTATCTAGTGCAGCAGTTACCGCAAAACTGACCTACTCTGAACTGTTGTGTCACAAATTTTGACCCAGGTAACTATTGGAACATGTAGAAGAAGAGATCAGAAAATTCAAAGGCCAGGGTAGCCAAACCACCAGCTGGTAACATAATGATCACAGCAGCTTTGAGATGTGGTTATTCTCTGTGTTCAATGTTTGGCTTTTGTGAAAAAGGCTGAACAGTTCTTGCTGAAAGAACCCCACGCATTTTTCATCCTGACTCCTGCTAGAAATATAACGGTCAGTATATTAAAAGATTATACATCAAATACTATATGAATTTTCCTGGTGAAGCTATACCATAAGAATTGTGCAGATTTGCTGTAGCGTTTCTAACAATGTTTCTAAGTACAGCATACTGTATTAAGGAGCTAACACATTTTTAATACAAAAAAAATATTAATCAGAAACTGTTAAAATTCATGTTGGTGTTTTGAAAACGCTTAATTTATAGTGAAGTTGTTCTTACCGAGGATGGTATGCTGTAGCAACCCTCTTTACTGTAGCACTAATGGCTCTTGTGTGTTCCATCTCATCTGCTTGCCTTTTTTTTTCTGGGTTTGGAGGGCAGGGTAGTGTAACAGTGACTGAGCTGTTAAATGGTTGGGCTGAAGGATGCTGGACATAAACCAGTGCACTAGTAGATACCACTGAGTGATACATATCGTGTCTTGCTTTCAACGTCGAAACCAATGATGGTTCAATTGGCTGAATCTAAATATGGAAAGCAATTGTACAATTAATTTGTAAACAAATACATATTCTCTTACATGCCTGCTTTTTTACAAATTGATTTATCTTTTGGAATTGGATCAGACTATCACAGAAACTTTAGGCTCCTTTCTGTAATCCAGGAACAACCCTACCAACATATCAGCACTTTGTACAACGCACAACCAAATGCTTGAAAGTCATCAAAACTTGGAACCTTTACTGACTAAAATATTTTGATTGTTTTGTTCCTGCTTTGAGTTCAAGTTTTGAAACGCCTGAGCTCCCTCAGATTTTGATAATCTAAGATTTTTCAGATTTCATTGTTTTCAATGTTAATTCTAACTTATCTGTACCTCAGAATCAATGTTTTTATGGGGGAATGATAACTGAATTAAATTTTGAGATTATCTTCAGCCTAAGACTAAAGAGACAAGAAAACATTTTGTTGCACTGCTTGGTGAAAATCATGAAGGTAAGGGGAGAAAAATTGCTCCATTATCTTAAACACCAGGCTAAGCAGTTGAAGTTTGAAGTTCATGCTTACATCATTATTGAAAACAACTGTATTTTCTGAAGTATATCACACAAAGCTAGATAGTTCTTTTTTAGCTAGAGATATCGTTGACTACTAATGTAATGTAGTTTTAACAAAGTTGACAGGAAACCATTTGCTGTGTATACAGGATATGGAGCTGCAACTACTTTTCACAGACTTCTAATAATGGAACAGGGTGCCCTTTAACACTGTTGGCAACCTTGCTTCAGAACTGTTCAGATAACAGACTTATGGAACAATTATTGCGTGTTTCAAGCTCACCTTTAACTGCATGGGTGCTGGAGAACTGAATGTTCCTGGATGGTAACAGAAAGAGATTCTAGAATCCACGCTCAGCTTTTGTGAGACTCCTACCTTTGGAACAGTAAATGTTTCTTTCTTTAAGCATGACAATACAGAAAAAACACCCAGCTGATAAATTTTCACTTCTGCAAAAATATCCTGCGTAAAGACAATGTGGGTTTAGAGTACATTAGAGGGAAAGGAAGCTGTGTTCTGTAGCAGATTAGCATTTTGAGAAGGCAGCATTATTTATAGAGCAAGGTGTGAAATGAAAATAAATTGAATATTATTGCCACCTGGATTCCCAGCTATCTAGTGATCTCTAGTCTAGACATCGTGTGGTGTCATTAATATTCCATTGTATGACTGGGGTGCAATGAAATAAGCTCGTCAACTGGGTGATGAATCCGGCCCAATGCAGTTCTGCGTTTAAAAAAACCCACACCATCCTGTCTTTCTCTGAGATGGAGTTTGGACTCATACACACAGAACTGTGTTACTTCTCTGTGATCTGAATACAAAATAATTCCCCTTAAGTTTTTATTTACATCAAATAATGCAACATATTCCACTTGTTTACAAAAATCACAAACCATTACTTAATCATTGGTACTGTGAGATCAAGCACTTGCCTTTAACATTACAAGTGAAAAGTTAAACACTAGGTTTCAAATAGAATTATATTTTGAGGAAGTAGGAAGAAAAGTTCAATTAAACCCCACTTAGTGGGCAGTATGGCTTAATAACGACAACTTTTCTGTATAACTCCACAGAGGCTTAACTGGGAACATGCAATGATGTTTTTACAGTGCTTAGATGAGAGTTTACCCACCTTATGGTTTCCTTCAAAAGAAACAGGAGTTAAGTATTTTGACTGAAAGTTCACGTCAGTCACCTTCACCATAATCTCCCGATAATTTCCTCTGAAGCATGAAGTAAATGGAATTGCAAGGTTGATAGGGAAAGGGATTGTTTTCTCATCAGAGCATTCAATACTGATGACATTGCTGACCAGCTCCTCGGAATCATTCACCACCAAGGAACTAATGTCATTGACTATCTTACACTTCAGATTCTCCAAAGCAGTTGCAGGGGCTTTAATTAAACAAGTTACTTCATGTTTGTTCTTACCACTGTCTTCCACTACAAACCTGAAGAAAAAGAATATCAGATATTATTCTTCGTATTTTGGGTGGGGTAGTGTCTCATATTTTTAATTAAATACTTTAATGATGTGCTACACTGTAGCATAAGCAGATCATTCATAAAAGTATATGTTTATGAACAGATGGGAATATCATGAAAACTTTTATGTGTAGCTTGTTTCAGAACAGCTTACAAATTATTATAGAACTGACTAATTGGGGTCCTTTCCTGTTGATTTTACAACAATTTGGGAATTATTGATTTTACTGCCTGTGACTCAGTCCCTGTCTGGCATAAAATAGTTTTATACAATCAAATTGAAAGTTACAGTTTACTTTAGACCAAAAGGAAGATCTTCATTGTGCATGCTTAAGTTGTAAACTGCTATTATGTGCATGACAAGCAGCTGTTCAATATATGCATATAGAGTTTCTGGGCCCGCAGATTTTTGTGTGTGTGCTAATAAGCAATATTTATGTATATCTGTTCCTAAAAAGAAGAATATGTGCTTACTCTTTGTTCATCCAGTGCCTAGATTTTTGTACATGTTCTGGATCATTCACAGCAGTAAGATCACATGTTTGTGCTGAAAATGTGAAGGTAATTAGGTCATTCCTACAAATCTCATGATTTATTTCTATTTTACTGTCTTCCATTTGCTCTGTCAGTCTATGTTCTTCGCTTTCTACTCCCTTTGAAGATTCTTTGGCTACTGCCTTTTTTTCCTGCTCAGAAATGTTCATGACAGTTCTGTCATAAATGTATTTCGATGTCTCAGATAGAATGCCTTTCTCGCTGCTCAGAAAAGCATCTTGAAAAGCCAGTTCTGGAGACTTTTCAGCAACAGAGCTACCTGCATGAGGTTTATCCTTTCCATTGCAGTCTTTTTTCTCTGTAACAGAGTTCATTAGTAGTCTGTGTTCACCATCTTCCTTTTTCATTGGAGGTTCTCTGTTAATATCCTGTTCTCGAGCAGATACGTTTTCAGCTAATGATGCAACATTGTCTTTTTCCACAGTTTTAGTCTCACTTGGCTGGATTTGATTAACATTCTGACTTTCCACATTGTGCAGGGAAGGAGTTCTTTGGGATAGCTGACTGGGACTAGAAGATGCTTGCACAGACTCTGTTGCTTCTCCTTCAGAACAACACACATCTGTTTCTCTAGAAGCATTTTGAGCAGTCTGGATCTGAGAACCACCATCTTGTCTGCAGCTAGCAGCATAAAGTTTATTTTCCGCCTCTTGAAGGTGTGAGACTGTATTTATCAAATAATCGTTCACTTTCTGCAGACAATCTATAATTCCATTGTACTCTGAGGCAAAAAAATAGGTAACCAATTGAATTTTGTTATGAAAGCTAACCAAAAATGTAAAAACTCTTATACCTAATGGTCAGATACTAGCTAAATTCTTAATGACAACCAGTCTAAAGCATGGAATTGGTAAATAATAGTCAAATCAATTTGGGAAGAGCTCTAAAACTAAACATTAATTATCTATCTATCTATCTATATATCTATACACACACTAAAATTGAATCCTGGAAGATTCTAATGCATGGGTCTAACAAAGCCGTTATCACTGGGCTCAATGTTAATCATGCTTAGCAGCTTTGAATTTTTGCTATGGAAAATAGAGGATAGCACAAAAACACCATCACGTACACAATACTCAAGTTCAGCAGTTTGTAGCATACAGTTATAGGAATGGTGGGGGTTGCTCTTGCATGTAACTAAAAACAGCTAGTGAAGAAGGATGCACAAAAAGCACACAATCAATATGTGCCATTCATGTAAGATTTTATCTTTGATCTATATATTTTATGATTCCTCATTTTTCTTTTCTTAGAAATCTTTCCAGATAACCTCTCCAAGGATTTCAGATGTATGATTTTCAGCTCTTCCCTCACCTTATGCTGTCAATCTCTATAACTGGAACTGTGTCTTCCTTAGTTAGGTATGTTGCAAACCTCTCAGAAAATGTCTTGCTTATTTCTGTTTGCTGCATGAGATCCTGGAAAACTTCATTTTGCAGGTTAAATCCAGTGAAAGAAAATACAGATAAGAAAATTGTATAGAATGAGACACAGTATTGTATGCTCTCCACTTATAATGGACAGTAACATACAAGGGAAGGACAATAGAAGGGGCTGGTACAAGTCTTAGAGGAAACCGTTGGCTTACATTCACTTTTTTCAAAAAAGTCATATGAGGTAAATCAATATCTCAAGGTTTTCAACTTGGAAAATAATTTTATTGCATAAGAATGTCATCACACATAAATATGTGACATTATATGATCTAGATAGGCCTTTCACTTTCATCTCTATTTTCATCTGATTAATTTAAACCTACAAAGAGTATGGTTCAGAATAAAGTTTTTTTTCTTGTTGAACTTAGTCTAAAAATTATTCCTTTGCAATACTTTCTCAGTTCCCAAATGACTTGTTGTTGGATTTTGACTATATTTGAAGAAAAAAAAAATGTTTTTAACATATTTTTTCCCACTCTAAGAAAAATCTAAGTTTGTTCTAAGGTACTGCTGTTTATCCAGGGGCACTTTTACAATAGTGAAGAAGGGCTTCTAAACAGTTCAACAGGGCGATAACATAGCTTTGTTTGCATGGGAGATTGTGAAAGACCACATCCCGGACTCACTGTAAGGCAAAGTTAAAGCTTCAGCAAAACCGCCAAAATTAACTTGTTTTGTCCCTGAATTTTGCATTCTCTAAATAAACAAAAAAACCCCAAACAAATCACACAGCTATTTAAACTTCCCTAAAATAAAATTTGAAGATAACAAGTCATGCAAAACAATGGCATTTTCCTGCTTTGTGAATGTGACTTTTATACTGAGTTTCAAGACACAGCTTTGTAACTTTACACTACCCAACTGTGTCTTACAAAAAGACACTTTTTGCATTCTGTTACAAGGTTAACCTCAAAATAAGCCTTCTTTTATGTTAGCTCCCCCTGCCTGCTCGCCCTCCCCCCCCCCCCTCACATTTCTATCACTTTGCTTTCTGTGCTTTTTTGATGTTTGATAACACTGCTTTAGAATACAGTGGCAATTCATATGTAACTGTCCAAACATTTTGCTGACTGTTTTATGGGAAAGTGTCAGATGAGGAAAAGTAGCTTTTTGGAAGGAGAATGATAGTGAATTCTTAGAAATCTGGGGTGAAAAAAACCCCAACATATAGGCCATGAGGCCAACAGGGCAAAGCTATCCTGATCTTGGAGCCTGGAAGGAGGTCCTTTTTTTTACAAAAATATCCTTTTGTTATTGTGGACACTTTATGAACCTGTAGAACAAAGACTCATAAATGCAGGTATAGCTAAAGATTTCGACCTGGAGTCTCTCTTTCTCTGTCAATGCATCATGCTGTTAGACCATCCTTAAACACAAAAATCTTAGTTTTCTTTTCTGCTTTGATCAATGTATCCACATCGTTATTATAAATGCAAGAAATCAAATTCCATGGGTTTACTGGACTGTGGACTGACAGCAGAAGTCTGTCTTATTTTTATTATCTTTTAAGCTATGTTGTTACTTGTAGAGGACTGTAGGCTACATACATTTGGTTTACTTAGTGAGGCGCTGGTAGCGGGGCTGCGGGGCAGCCTCTGGGAGGGGAGGCCGGGGCTGCCCTGTGCCTGACAGAGCCCGTTCCAGCTGGCTCCAGCAGACCTGCTGCAGGACTGAGCTGAGCCTGTCGGCAAAGCTGGTGCTGCCTCTGTGAAAAGATGCTTAGGAAAGGGCAAGAACACCAGAGAACAGGGAAGGAGGGGAAAAAAGGGTGAGAAACAGCCCTGCGAACACCAAGGTCAGAGAAGAAGGAAGGGGAGGTGCTCCAGGTGTGGAGAAGAGACTCCCTTGCAGCCCATGGGAGACCAAGCTGGAGCAGACGTCTGTTCTGCAGCCGGTGGAGGACCCCACGCTGGAGCCAGTAGGTATTCCCTGAAGAAACTGAAGCCCATGGAGAGTCCAGTTTTTCCTGACAGGAACTGTGGGCTGAGGGGAGGAGCCATGGTGGAGCATGGAAAAATGTGAAGAGGAAGGTGTGGTGGAGGGAAACTGTTATGGCCCGACTGCTACCCCCATTCCCATACCTCTGTGCTCCTCAAGACGGGGAGAAGGTAGAGGAGTTTAAGGAAGAAGTGAAGGTGAGCCTGGAAGAAAGGAGGGGTGGTGTGGCGGATTAAGGGCATGGACTCCGATTGGGCATAAACCAAAGATCGAAGACCTTTATTGTTTGCTACAGCATCATTATATACTTTTCTCTACTAGTACACATGCCACTAAGTAAGCTGTGATTGGTGCACAGGCATTGTCCACACGCCACTACCGCTGACCCCATTGCCTGCTGTCCTGCAGGCTTGTGCTCTTCTGGTGTCTAATGGTCTGCACCTGATTACTTCCCTGTTATCTTCCTTTACTCTTGTTCAAGGCTCAGGGCAGGTTAACTCTTTCCATACCTTCTCTCCTTGTTTCTCCTCAGGGTGGGGGAAAGGTGTTGTTTTAATTTTTTGCCTTTTTTTCTCACTATCCAATTGGCAGTAAATTAAATTAATTTTTTCCCTAGGTCCAGTCCATTTTGCCCACGACAGTAGGTGGTAAGTGACTTCCCTGTCTTTATATTGACCCTTGAGCTTTTCTATCTTATTTTCTCCCCCTGTCCTATTGAGGAGGGGGAATAAGTTGCTGGATTGGCTTCTAGTGTCTGTCCAAGATAAACCCACCAAAGTACAATACACATAAAACTTCAAAAAAATTCTGTTAATTTTATTATACATATAAATATTTCTCACGTAATGGGAATTATGAGTCTCATTGAATCTCACGTAATAGACCCTAAAACAGTGATACAGCTGTTGAAATATGAATTAATTTGGTATAATGGATGACCAAGTACTAAAATACTAACAGATGAAAACTAAGGTCCCCCAGCATCATCATATGGCAGAACTTAGCATTCAATATACCCAGTCCATTCTGTTTACAGGTAAGTCCCTCCATACTTGCCTGGACTTGCAGCCAATTCCTTGTGTTTGCCACGAAGAGCACTCAGCAAGCGGCAGGTGTCTTGAATACCTTCAGTAATGTTCTCCAGCTGCTGGCTGAGAGATCCGCTCAGCTCTTTTGTTAAAGAGATCAGTCTAAGCGCATAATCCATTGTACCTTCATTATCCAGATCACTTTCCAGAAGCACATCTCTCGCTAGCAACTTCAGGTTGCAGATTTTTTCCAGGAGTTGGTCCGATTCGCCTGCAGGTGTAATCTTACCTTCAGTCATTTCCATTTTATGTTCAGAATATACTACTACGATTTTTTTTCTGCCCAAGCACTTCCACCAGGTTTTGCCCTTGGTTTGCACTACTACACTGTTTACTCTTTAGTGTTTGTAGCCTAAACAGCATTTGAAAAAGTACTGTATTCCATGCACACTAAAAAATCAAACTCTAGCTCAGAAACTCTGAGTCGATGTTGACTATTAGAAAGTTACTAAGTGACAGAAAGGAGTGGTTCTCCTGTAACTATGGGCAAGGGTTGCCAAGAGATGCCAACGTACACCATGCACCTTCAAGGGAGGTTATGCAACTCAGTTATGTAGCAGTGACTTAAATTTCAGGAGCTCTGAGCAATTTCTCACTTCAGTGGCTGTAAATGATCAGTACCTATGAAATGAAGCTTAATTGTGAATTCATGATTATATAGTCACCAACAACAAGAAAGCATTTTCATTGCAAGTTAACATTAAATGCTGTAGGTCACTTGACACCATTTTCTGACAACTGTATCTCATTTGTTGTTCAGAGGCATCAAATAGGTGAACAGGTCCAAACTGCTATGCAGTCTGGATGATGTATTTGAATTAGACGTAGGTTTCAGCAAGACAAGAATCTACAAATGTAATTTTGTGATTAGTAAAAGTATTTATTAGTAACAGACATTTAATGAAACCTGCAATATTTTCTGGGGTGTGTTTATATAACGGGAAGAAATGTAAAGAAACAGTAGTAACAGCTAAAAGTTCAAATAAATATGGCTGAATTTTTTTTTTTTTGGTACTTTAAGAGTTGAGAAGCTAACTTAGGAGAAAAACATGAGCTCACTAAACTTAACTGCAGCATCAAGAATTATGAATATGGGGTTCACAGGGAAAAAGCACCGTCCTTCAGTACCCCCGTGAAAGCAGGCAGCACTGCTTTTGCAGGGTCTCACTACCATGTGCTCCTGGAGGAGCCTAGGAGGAAGAAGGGCCAGTGCCTGACAGGGCTCCTGTGCTGTTCGTTGTCTTCAGTTGGTGAAATTTCAGCACTGATACCTCAATGATACATTTGCAATTATTTCCATTTCACCCATCAAGTTCAGGAAAAGAACTCTCACCAGTACAGCAATGAAAACAAGCGAAGGAACAGCACTGACATTCTCCTAGTGATGCTAGTTCACATCGTGCTGTGCTAGGGGAGGGTAGGCCTGAAACTCTCGTTAGCAGAGTTCAGTACTGGGCTAAATCTGAATTATTGCATACATCAAAATTGTACAACTGTACAATACATAAATTGTTAGTACAGTGGCTTTCCTAGTAAACATTCCTTTTTATGGCCCATTATAAATATAATTAATGCAGCTTTAAATAGCAATTAAAATGGGACTGTGATATAAAAGCACATCAAAAATTGCATCTAAGCATTAAAAGAACTAATAAGGTAATGTCAGCAGAGTGCTTTGAAGATGTAAAGCACTGTATAAATGTTAATATAATAATGAAAGATATAAAGTGTCTTTAATCAAACATATGAGATGAAACCAGCTGTAACTATTAAATTCAAAAGGAAAGTTCCTTTTGACTCATTGTAGTTTGCTTGATCACACTGAAAGTGTACTGCATAGCTAACACAAAAAGGTATGTGAATCATCAGCCTGTCTACCATTTCTGATGGTCCAGCATCTCCACATTTTCCCAAATGATTTCTAGTAAAAAGGAAAAGAACATATACCTTCATGTACAGGAAGTGAAAAATGTCATCTTCCTGCCCAACATTTTTAGGATGTGTAAATGAAACAAAAAAAAAAAGATGGGCAAAAATGCATTATCATATTATTTACTGTATAGTATTGCATAGACTAGCTTCTCATTTTGAATCCATGTTGTTCCCCTAACCATTGTATAGCTGGATATATCAGCTCCAGATCTTTTCCAATGTACATATTTGCTGAGATTACTTCAGACTAAATCTGTTAGTGATGTGAGTTATGAAGAAATACACTAGTTTGAATAAAGGTAAAAGATCCAATTTTTAAAAAGCAACCTTTGTGTGTGAAATAGATAATAATAAATTGACCTGTTATCAGAATATATTATGCATTGAATGTTGTAAAGCTTATGAGGAGCTACCACAACACAGTGTTATAAACACAGTTTTATAAGATAAGACAGGAATTGATCTGTATTCATGTTCTTTGCCGTAAGAAAACTGTTTTGATTTGGAATTTTTGTCAAAAAATTGTGTATCTAAACCCTGCTTCAGTTAATACATGCTATCTGTGTAAATTGTCTATCCGTATTGGAAAGAAGATGTTAGTTTAGAAAATACATTTGTCCAAAACACGGTAGGAGAAGAGAAATTATTCTGATTTTTTTAATGGGTAGTTGAAAAAATTTCAGGCCTTAGAGATAAAAAAATCGTATTGGTCTTCCTGTAAACGTGACTGAAACATGCAAAAAAACCAAGCTTTTGTAAAAATATGAAGCACTACATGGTATAAACGTCTGCAATGACGGAGTGGTCTGGATAAGTATTGTACAGCTAATGAGGTAAGCTACGCTCTTACTGAAACAGTTACTCCAGAATTGCTGCTGTTGGGAGAAATTTGAATTTTAAACACATGATTATATATCAGATCTCATGATAGAAAGGAGGCAGTAATGGCCACTCAAATGACAGTTGACTCTTCCATCTTTGTTACTCTTCAGGAGTAGTAAAGAGAATGTATTAAGTTGTCTGATGATCAACATTTGAAGGTCTTTAAATTCACCTACACATATAGCTAAGTCATAGTTCTAGTTAAACAAAAATAGGTCCCACACCCTATTTTAAGCTCAGTCTCAGTGTTGGACTACGAAAACCTGTCATTTGTGGTATTTTGCCGCTAATTCATGTTTCTCCTTGAAGAACGGTGATAAATTATGTAAGTGGAATTTCTTAATCTTTGATGCTATTTAGTGGACAGTCTTATGATTTAAGGCTTGTGTTTATGCACCACACTGGCAGGTATTAGACAATATAACCATAAATTCTTTTGGAAAAATCAGACATTTTATACTTGACACAAGCTCTTGCCCAAAGAGATCCAATAGTAGTAGTAGCTTTCAGGGCCCTGCATGCACCCATTGGCCTTTATGGCCCAGACCCGCCTCACCTGGTGAGCGCAGATGATTAGCTGGGCCATGTTTGAAGCTTTCTGAATGCTGCAGATTGCAAAAGTAAATGTTGGTGAAATCAGTAAAATATAACTGGAAAACATGAAGGGTAAAAAAATAGAGAACAGGAGTCATTCAGAAATGTTACAGAAAAGTGAGTGTAGATTCTCTGAAAATATATGGCTCCCTATATTAATATATATAGTGAAGGAAATAAGATACTGCAATTACATATGTGAAAGAGGAAGTCCTTTCAACACAATATGATAAAAAATCTAGTATAAAGGTTATTTAAATAGAATTTATATCATACAGTTCATGTTGGAGTTTTACAATTACTTTAAGCTCATACTTTTGTGAAGTTAAATTCAACATGGATTAGTTGTCTGAGAGGTTAGTACACAGCACACCAGCTATAAAGAGCAGGTTGAGACAATAAGAGTAACCAGACTTGATAAGGACAATATTACTCCTTTCTCCAACAGAGTCAACTTTAACAGTGAAACTATAGTTTTATCTTTCAGCTTTTGCTACAAAATCCTGAGTAGAAGGAAAAAAGATACACACACACTAAAAAAGAGAGACACAAAGAACACCAGTTCTGGATATTGTGTCAGAAGAAACTCATAGACTTGGTGACTGTGGAACCCTGGCCTTGCTGGGAATCCTTGCCTAAAATATATCCTTTAACTGAGAAAGAATCAGGCCCATAGGGGTAGGGTGAAGACACAAGCTATCATGTTTACCATTACATACAGACACCAGCTAGCTAGTCTCACAGGAAAAAGAGACATGGGTGTCCTATAACCTGATTGTCAAAATAGGGCCCTATGCCTGCGTAGGTAATATAACATACAGAGAAATAAATGGAACAATCAAGAGACAACGTGTAAGAAATAAAAGTACAAGAACAATTGTGATAGATGTAGAATTATTATTAGATTGTATCTTTTTGTCTTGGGTTGGTGGTTTTTTGTTTTTTTTTTTTTTCTTTTTTTTGTGAAGGAACTAATAACAAAAGAGCTGTGTATGCATCCTCAGAGCTTAGCTCCCCGTCGAATTTCACCTTTCTGAAGAGTGATCCTATTCTTCAGCAAAACTACATCAGCAAAAAAACAAAGTGGAAAAATAGCTCTGTGTTTGAATTTGTTTTAAAACAATTCCTATTCCTGAGTTACTTTCACTTTTAACTATACTCTCTACCTATTCAAAGAGTCCTTAAAAAAAGAGAGCTTTCACATCCATATCAAATAGTGGCCTTGGATGTAGGAGGAACAACATATCGAATTTAGAAAAATAGGAACCAAAATATAGATTTAAATTAAGTTACCATTTAGCAGAAGTGCATGTTCTTTTCAGAATTCCTTAACACTGTTGCATAGGTGATAACAAAGCAAGTGGACTTTGCTCTGCTATGGAAAGAGATTAGACTGTATGATGCAGATACAGTAATTTCTATCTTTATAGTCTGTGTATAATGCAAAGTTTGGTATGTGACAATAAATGCATTTTGGTGCTTTTATTGATCTATTGATATTTGAAAATATGTGCAATGTTTTTACTTCCTGTTTCTGATATTCTAAGGCCCGAGTAAGAAAAAAACAACAGTGTTAAGAAAAACGAAGTGGTTCATTTAGCACTATATCATAGTGACCAGTGCTGGGTGTTTTGTAGAAAGTTGTAATCCGCCTGAAATATATGAAGTGTAGGAGGGAAGAAAGTCTGAGCCTGTGCTAAACCGCAGTGTGGGGCCACCTATGTACCTATATTCACTAAAATGCAGCATGGTGTTGTTGGCCTGTATTTGCCATTATATTTAAGTTAGCTTCTGTGGGGGTTTCAGGTAAACAATGTCGGGAAAACAAGCCATGCTT